CCTGCTGCACAGAGCTCCCAGGCAAATATGAAAGCAACTGATAATTCCCCCCTGTCTGCAATGACTGCAGGAACTGCAAAGAGTAGGTTTCATTCCTTATTTTAACACATTAAATCCCCATGTTGTGTACACCATGCTAAGCCTGTACACTTACCATGTGTACACGCCAAGTACCTGCCTCACTTCTTCCAGATATCTATGTTCCTAAATATTATTTCCCAGATCAGGAAACCTTACATTTCATCATTTATTACAGTCCTCCTTGTGCTGACATTCTAAAAGTATTCTACATTTCACCTGCAGAAAAAGACAAGCTTTTGCTTGTCTTCCTATTTTAACTGTCCCAAAAGGCTCCTGTACATACAAAGTCTTGTCCTCAAAACAGGACACTGGTCTGTATCCTTCCTACCAAATAAACAAACACAGGAGAGCTTCACAATATTCTTAAAATGTACTAACAATGCCCAAAACAAATTTAGTAAGTGTTACACGGGCATGCTGAATAGAGAATAGCTCAGCCGTTGAATCCAGCCTTTCATTTATTTATACGCTAACAGGCTCCTCTGATGATCACACTAATAATATGGGAAGCTAATTGACAGATGCTTCTTTATTCTCTCTTCTTTTGTTCCTATTCTAGGTTTTAAGAAACAAAGATTTCCAGTGGTAAAAACTGCTTGAACACCAAAGCGAGAGAGGATGGGGGAAGAAGTGAGAGGCGCACAACAGCCTTATCCACTACAGGAGGTAACAGCGCTCAGGACACAAACAAGACATTGCTTCAGTGGATTTACAAGGTGATGACATTCTTTCCATTTTTCTTTGCCATTTCTGAAACAAATCCATCCTTTTGCCTACTCTAGTTTAAGGGAGATTGCAGAAATACAGATTTTCAAAATGTTTTCATTACTGATGGTATCATCTAGGTAAATACCCACGTTACAGGTGGTAAAATGACTGGGTGATGCAGAGTAATCCTTCTGTCATCACGACTTTCTTATTGATAGACCCAATTTTATGTTAAGTTTCAGTATCAAATTCATTAGTTACTTGCTTTCTCTCTTCACCTCCTCTAGAGTTGTAGCAGTTTAGAAAATCTGCATTTGGAAATAAACAGATTCTGCTGCTTCACTGCCTGGCTGGCACTCTGAATCCTCCAACATTCTTACTTAATCAGAAGCTCACACTGAAACCATTTAATTGTATCATTTGGCCCTTTGAATTATTAAAAGCACAAGTAAAATACCATCAGCAAGATCTGAGTTCAGTTATATATATACCAATTTCATACAAATAACCTTAATAAATGTTTGGGGTTTTTTTGTTTTGGTTTGGGTTTTTTTAAAAAGATTTCAGTTCAGTTATGAAGAAGCCTTCCTTATCCTGTTTTAAACCACGTTTAAATCAATGTCAATGTAGGTGTGGGGTTTCTTCACTCTGTTTTTTTCAAGTCTGCCCACTGCAATGTCTAGTCAGTAAGTAAACACCTAGGACTGGAGAAGAATCCTCCAAGGACATCCTCAGAGAGCAGAGTTATGTTTTGGAACAAGGTTTCTAAGTTTTATACCCACCAACCAAACAGCAAAAACACAGCTCTCATGAAGAGGCTTAGCTTTAAAAGAAGATTCTCCCAGTTCAACCAACTATCCACTGGCCATTTCTGAATCAAGTCCAACAAGTTTTCACTACTGATATCAGTGTAAAAGAGCAGCCCCATAGGTGGCAGACACACAGTCCGGCACTTGTGCCTAGATAGCTGCAAGCTAGAAAGGACTTGCTTTGCACAGCTGTTTGAAATAGTACTTTTTCCTCCAGGAGTCTTTTGGTTTTATTTTATTTTATTTTATTTTATTTTTTCCCTTCAGCTGCTGGCATCTCTACACCTCAGGTTAGGTCCAGAGGATTACTCTGTCTTCTCTTTATGCCCAACACTGACATCAAACATTACAGTAAATAACAATAACAAATACACTCCTAGCTGAGGGCACAAACACAAGCTGCCATGGAGGTATAAGGTACAACACAGCAGCGAATCCACAACACCCGTTCTCAGCCTATGACAAATGCAAGGCAAATCGGGGAGGGAAAACCGATTCAGTCTCACCTACAACACACTAAGTGAAGTAACTGTGAAGTGTTACCAGCCAGCAGGTGAGCACACTTATTCCTTCAAATAGCTCACAAAAGCAGAGTTTCTTACCTCTCC